CATTATAACCATTGATATTGATATTACTATGTTTGCGATTCTTGTTATATTCTCTAATGTCTAATTGTTTATCTAAGTGATGTAATCGAAGCGTAATGCAATTTAACTTAATTTTGATCTCTCATACTCTCTCTCCCTTATCTATTTGAACATGACTTGGAAAACATTCGCACCTGTCTTTCTGCATGACTAATTCAATGTAGTTTGTTTACTTATCAGTCTTATATCTCCTAATGTAATTTCAAAAGTATATATATCCGTGTATGTAGAGTATTCAGCTGATGAGCTCTACCGAAATTTGATGAATTCATTAAATTCTGCTTTATTAAACTTTATTGCTTGTTTTAAATTCGTATCGGGAAATAAATGTTTTCAATTCTAATTTAACTCTGATAGAAGTTTGATATAGTCAGATGATAGATGAAGTATTGGGAAAAACATGACTTATGTCGGCATAGAATTCGAACGAGATACGTGCTTTAAGGAATGAATTTCAAAATTTAAACATTAACTAGCTGTCGAGTATTTTGCTTATTGACTGAGGTGACCGAGTCATTTGTTCTCCACACAGTGAGTCACCAATACTCTATGAAATCTTTTCGACTGTTAGTCTGAGTCATGTAGAAAACGCTCAGGGCTGCCTGATCGGATCCTCAAGATGACAAGAATTTATGGTTGTAAAACGTTGATGACATGGCTTACATTCTTTACCCAGTATTATTTTTCATATTATCATTCTTTCGGGTTTCAAGTGGATCATGGGGCTTTAGAAACAAATCGCTATCTAACTACGATTATTTCTGTCTTTTGTAGCTGAGCTCTTCATTGTACATCTAATCTATCTCCATTTCCATCTGCATATGTTCAAGGTGGCAGATTCTTGATTGGTCCTCTGTTAGAGCTCCTAGTTGCATAGCCTTTCTAGCAGCTATCTGAGTTTCAGTACGCAGACTGTTAAGGTATTTGTTGACGAAAGCCTGCAGTAGGAAGTTGGTGGAAATGCTTTTCATAACGTGTCAACTCCTTAAACCGCATAGAAGCATTGATTTGACATTAATGTTGCAAATTCGCATTTCATGCTGAGTACTATATTATTTCACACTAATTTAAGCGTAATGGGCACCTATCTTTCTTTTACGATCCTGGCTGGATTCGATATCCTCATGTGCACCGGCCGTAGTTAAAACCATGGTGCTCAAGTGTGGTGGGTTAAGGAGGTGGCCTTTTTGTAGATTTTCGCCGTTGATTGTATTAGGTGCTTGTCACTGATAGTCTCTCGGATGTGTTTTCATCATCTCCGGGGTCACTTGAAATCCTGTCTTCTACCGAATTCTTTTTTTTCGCCTGTAAATCTTCGTTTTTGCATGACATCACACAGAAGTCATCCGCAAAGTTGAAATCTTTTAGAGTCTGTATTTCTGACCAACATATTTCTGTCTTCTCGCTGCCCACGCACGATCTGTTGTATTAGGTTGATAAAGACCTGAGGCATGCTGTAGTGTTGAATCGGTATACAAATTACTTTGTGGTTAATATCTCTGAGAGAGAATAAAGGATGCACTGGATACAGAACTCCGCCAACCGGAACAAACCCGGATTCAGGTAAATCATGTGCTGCGGATCAAATCGCAACTCAACACATCGCCGTCGAACAAAGCGTAGAATGGCTGTCGAACCTCTCTCTGCCTCAACTTCATCGACTTCGAAAAGGCCTTCACAAGACATTGTTGACCAAGAAGTAATTTGGAAACTACTTCAAAACTATGGTTTGCAGTTCCCAAGTATTTATCAATCTCATTGATCAGCTGGCTATATGACAATGGCACGTGTCAGGTAATCCACAACGGAAAACTCAGCGAGGCGTTCGAAGTGCATACAGGAGTAAGATAAGCCTGCTCTCTGTTATCACCGATGATATTCGTAATTGTGGTGAGCTGGATTATGCGTCAAACTGTGGATTGAAATCGAGGAAACAGGAGTACACTGGACCACCGATGAGAAGACCGTAGAAGATCTGTGTTTTCCATGTGGGGATGATGTATGTCTAGTGTCACACAAACCCGAAGACTTGCAAGCGAAAACCAACAAACTGGCTGAAGAGGCCAGCAGCGAAGACAGCACTGTAGGTGAACACAGAGAAGACGGAAGTGATGAAGATAACCAACGAATCACAACAGTAACAACAACCAACACCAATCACAATGCACCATAATGGTGAGCCATCTAGTGGCATGGTGGTCACACTGCAAACTTGACTGACTGATAGAATTCACTCTGCACCGATGATAGGACTAGGCACATTACACTAGTTACTGACTAGTGTCCAATGAAAAACACCAATCACCACCAACGGGAGAGATTTAACAGAGGTTGCCTCCTTCACTTATCTCTTAGGCATCGTTTCAACTATAGGCAGAACGAACGAAGATGTCAGAGTCAGAATCGAAAAGGCAAGATACCCCTTCATCAATCTGAAAGTAGTTTGGAAATCTTCTGCACTCAACATAAGGACAAGATTCCGATTTTCAGCATCAGTGTCAAGTCGGTCCTTCTATATGGGTAAGAAACTTGGCTAGTGTGTCACGAAAAGGATTTCCAACAGGCTGTTGCAGACTTTCATCAACAGCTGCCACCTTCACTGTCTGGCTCCATACTGAAGATCAAATGGCTGGTCAGAAAGAATAAGTAACAAGAAACTCTGCCTGGGAACAAACCAACCAAGAGCTGATTATTCAACAAATATGCAGAAGAAAATAGAGATGCATTAGGCATACTCTGAGGAGACCGTTGAATGACATCGTACGCCAGGCCGTCGAGTGGAATCCAAATAGGAAGTGACGAGTGCGTGGTCCTAGGGTGACATAGAGGAGATCCTGTGAGGAAGAGATAAGAGAGTTTGGGCAATCGTGAACCCTAATGAAGAGGAGAACAGAAAACAGAACAGAGTGGAGATGTATTGTTGAAGTCCTATGTTACATTCGGAACGCAAGGGAATAATAAAAATAATATCTTTGAAGGCCTTTCCAAAGACAAGAGGAGACAAAACTTATTCACATTTTATGATTTCCCACATTGTGAAAGTCGTCACCAAATTTGATTTAATCTTATGCGCTTTCCTTTATTGAAATTTCATTACGCTTCTTTTTCTCCACTTATATTTGTTGGTGTAAGTCACTGATTATCCCCATATACAAGAAGGGAGACAAGTCTTCCTGTGATAATCACAGAGCGATTAGCTTGACTAATAAGGTTGTATCTAAAGTCCTAGGCTCAATAATCATGCGTAGACTGAGTGGTGCTCGGGAAGCACAAACACGAGAGAGCCAGGCAGGCTTTAGACCAGGAAGAGGGTGTATTGATCATATCTTCACACTCCGACAGATTCTAGAACATAGGCATTCCTACCGGCGTCCAACAGTCATTATATTTCTTGACCTAAAGGCAGCATTCGACTCTGTCGATCGGGAAGTTCTCTGGAGATGCTTGGCTGTAAAGGGAATTCCGAGAAAATATATTGCACTGATTAAAGCACTCTACTCGTACTCATACAGCCAGGTGAGGGCTTACGGCGAGTTTTCATTTGAAGTGGTGACGACTAGTGGTGTCCGTCAAGGATGCCCATTATCTCCTTTTCTATTCAACTTCATCATAGATGTGTTAATGGACTTAACCCTAGTGACTTCAGTGACTCAGGAGTTGACTTGCTACCGGGGAATAATCTCGTTGACTTAGAATATGCAGACGATATAGTCCTTCTAGGCGAAGACGCTGACGAAATGCAGAGTCTTCTAAATACCTTGAGCCGCAATCTTCGAATGTTTGGCATGCGATTCGCTCCCGCCAAATGCAAGATGATGTTACAGGACTGGACTACATCGACGCCTAGTTTAAAAATAGGAAGTGAAGTGGTAGAGCACATTGACCACTTCACTTATTTGGGAAGTACCATCAGCCCCAACGGGTTGATCTCTGACGAAATCTCAGCACGAATACAAGGGGCTCGTTTCGCATTTGGCAGTTTACGCCGACTCTGGCGTAGACGAGATGTTCGACTATCGACCAAAGGGCGGGTGTACTGCTCATCAGTCCGCTCCGTCCTACTTTATGGTTGTGAGAGCTGGCCACTGAGAGTGGAAGACATGAAAAGACTAGCTGTCTTTGATCATAGGTGCCTGCGTTCTATTTCCCGTGTAAAGTGGCATAATAAGGTGAGCAACATGGAGGTTAGGCGTAGAGTTCTAGGTAAACAGGGGAAATCAATCGACGAAGTCGTGAAGCTACAAAGACTGAGATGGTTAGGACATGTGTTACGTATGCCAAGCCATCGCCTCCCTCGACGAGCAATGTTAGCGGATATAGGGTCAGGCTGGAAAAAAGCTAGTGGCTGTCAAACCAAAACATGGCTTTATCAGTCAATGAAATCCACAACAGTTAGTTTAAGCCACGTAGGAAGGTGTAGACTTCCAGGCTGGGGTCCTCGGGACGGTAAAAGCCAATGTCTGGAAACAATTGGTGACATGGCTCAAAATCGTTCTCAGTGGCGCAGATGCATCCACTCTTTGTGACTTATGATTTCCAATGAAACTTTTTTGTTCTTCGTTATTACTATCCTTTGTCTCACACCTCTGATTACTGTCTCTATTATGCATTTCTTTTACTTTCTTCTCTTGGTTTGTGTGCTACAAGGAGGGAGTGTGGCGACTTGAACTGCCGCACATGTATGCAAAGTTCTATGTCGAAAACAGACAGACAGGCAGACTTACATTTGTGCTTATATGAATTTTATTCACTCGAATTGATACAGTTTTGTTCAGCTTGTTCTAGAGTGTTAATTTCACTTCGTTCAGTTATATTTATTTATTTATATCTATACACATACCTTACTGATGACAGACAGAGAGGTGAATTAACGCAAAAAGACATACTAATTATTACGTAATTCTCATATGTGATTATGTAATATAAACAATAGAATTCCATGAAATAATAATTATTTTTAATTAAAAAAACTTTATATTTAACAAAATCAATAAAGGAATCAAGACAGCATAGAGACATAGAGATGACCAAATTGTGCTTGTAAGAATATTTGTAATTAAGGCGAATTGTTCATCTGTAGTTGGTGTGTAGACAGCACAATCTAATGGTGATTGAATAACACTCCGTTTGGTTATTATTTTATTTGTTTTTGATGCGAGTTTATGTGGTGTATGATTCCAGTGTTTTAATCCATTCACCTTAGATACTACTAAGTGGTTTGGATTATTTGTGTAGGCATTACACGGTGAATTGGAAAATCCTATCTGGAAATTAAACAGAGAGAGGGGGAAAAGAACAAGCGTTTTGAAGACAAAACTTTGCTGTGGATAGACATCATTACTGGATTTCTGTTTCACCTTAGTTTAAGACTAGTCAGCAGGTGATTGAACCTAGGATTTTCAGGTGACGAAACCAATTAGTTCATTGAATATTCGGTCACTTGAGCTGGACCTCAAAAACCCATGAATGCTACCTACCTCCAAATCCTACCAAAACCGATAATTTCACTACCAAGATCCGGATTATTGGCAACCACTGGATGGTTACAGGGTTTCATCATGAGCTGACATCAGTTAGAGAACCACTGGAAAACCTGCAGGGAGTACTGGACAGCTGCTTCGTCCTAGTTCGGGACTCTTCAGCAGTACGCACCCACCGGGGGTCGAATCCAGGGACCTCCTGGTTACAAGGCTAGCGAGCTCGTGGACTATTAAGCCACTGGGACCCGACCCAATGGCCCATGAGTTCTAACTTATGCCTATTCCCGATATAGCGCGACCACTAGCCAGTGTCTTCGGTGAGTGTTTGTCCTGACTTCCGACCTGCTGCAAACCAATATTTGAGATGCTCACTAGCGGCTTGCCTTATTCAGCTAGTTAGTTACCTGAGGATCTAGTGAGAAGCTGTGACCAGTCTAAAATGACTCCAGTAAAGTGATAGGGCGATGAGTTCTAGTAAAATTTATGAATTCAATCAAAACTGTCTTCTTTTAATGATGAGGTACAGGTTATAAGAACCACTCACTTTTATAATTAACAAAAATGGTTTTTATGAATTGCTGATTCTGGAAAAAAAAGTATATTTATTCTGCGAATTGAGAACGTACTACTCACGTCAACCAACCAGTAGTATACAGCACCCAGAATTTAAAAAATATTTCCAAGTTTGATCATGGTTCGAAATCAGTTAGACAACCATCTCAAAGCTAAGAAGTACTAGACAGCTATTTCGTCCTAGTTTGGGACACTTCGGCTGTGCGCACCCGCTGACTGGTGGTCGCGTTAAAATCATGAATTGCTAGAAATAAGAATTTGCACTCCATTTAATTAGGTCCCAGAGGTTGAATGGTCAACGAGCTTGACTTGTAGTCGGAAGGCACTGGGTTGAAATTACAGTGTTTGCTCGCTGTTGAAGAGTCTCAAGCCAAGACGAAACAGATCTCCAGAACTCCTTGCTGATTTTCAGCAGCTTTCTTACTGATATTTTTTATTTGTGATCAGATTTGAAATAGATCCGATCCATACAAATCAGCTTCTGAGAAACATAGATTTTGTGTGATTGATATAAGAATAAAACTTGTGCATTGTGGTAGAGTATAATTTCTTAATGGGTAAAATTTATTCTGATAAAGTCTCACAGTGTTATACAGTAAAATTTACTGACAGATTTTGTGTTTTTAATAGGCTCATTTATAAGTTCCATATTGGTTTGTTTATTAGATGTATCACACAGTGAAACAGTATTATTTAATGAATGACGTTTCGAACAAAATTTATTCATAATTCTATCAACTATAATCACAAGACTTCGAAACTTGAGTTTTATAGTTTTCTTTGTCCTCTCCTATTTGTCGTTGGAGTAAGAGAATTTTCCAGATGTCCACCTGGACAGGTGTTGAATCATTCCTATCACACGTACTTGCAGTTGATTCGACAAACAAAGCTTCTGTTATCAATCTCTCCCTCCATCCACCCTGTGACATTCGATTTTAAAACTGTCATTTTATCCCATCCATCTTAGCGTATTGTTGTGTGTAATTGCATGTGGTGAGTGCTATAGCTGAACTATTCTCTAGATTTCTTATCTTATTTGGGTCAACTAATCTAGATTTTGCTAGGTTTTATGTTCGGCTAGTCTGACTGACTGCACGTGTTCTACTAGTTTGACCTATGTATTCGACCTGACAATCATTCCAGCAGGGTATTAGATAAGCTAAATTGTTTTGTTTTAAAGGCTCCACAGGATCCTTTAACCGACAAAGCTTGTTTCTAATTGAGTTTGTGAGTAGTCTGAATGCCAGTCACTTTTATTCTTACCTTGTTAAGAATTCTGCGTAAGGTTCCGAGGTTCCTTCCGTGTATGGAATTACTACTGATGATTTAGATTCCTTACTGTTGGTGTCGTCATTAATATTATTATTAGTAATATTATTGTAACTATTATTATTATTATCATTATTATGTTATTGTTATTACCACTATCGCTATTACCATTGTTTATTTTTTTTTACAATTCCCTACATATTTCCTGACTAATTCATCCGGATAACTATTAAGTTTCAAAGCTTCTTTTATATGTATCACTTCCTGTCTTAGATTTTCTTTGTTACTACTTAGTTTTTGTGCTCTGTCACTTAAACATTTCACCGATCCTATTTTACTGACATAGGATGAGATGATCGGAATTCCAAATATCTGTTTGAATGTGTGTTTTCTGTAAAGGCTAGTGTTTAACTTCCCATCTTCTTTTCTTTTTATGTTGCAATCTAACATTGAAAGTTCCCCTTCCTGACTTTCCAGTTCATAAGTGAATTGAACTGCCTTTACTTCGAGTTGATGTGTTCGAAAGATCTATCTAAATCCTGTGTTCTAAGTACAGTTAATGTATCATCTACATACCCCCACCATACTTTTGGGGTGAGGGTGAACGTTTCAATGGCTATCTTTTGCCACTGTGCGTCGGTGGAACAGTGGTTAGGACTCTCGCCGACCATGCGAATGGTCTGAGATTCGATCCCCTGCCGACGCACACCTGATATCTATGGTTGGCCTGCAAAATTTGGGCTACCGATATCCATGCTGAAAATTCCATACTTCTACAAAAAATACAGTGTGGAATCAAGCTGTAAATCAAAAATAAAAAAGTTCCATGAATATATCTGCTACAACCAGGGATATTGGTGATCCCACAGCAACTCCCTCAGTTTTTTTTGTCCCTGGAATTTAAATACTGTGGAAGTCAGGCATAGCTGCAGTCTCAGCATTATGTCCTCCAGTGGCAATTTCTTTCTAAGTTCGAGTTCTCGGTCAGAAATGAGTTCGTTTCTGACTGCCTTTATAGCCGTATTTATTGGTATCCATTTATATAAACTGATAATGTCGAAACTAACCATTTTTCTTCATTATCTAATTTTAAATTATCTAATCAATGTTTTAATTCATAAGAACTTGTTAATCTAGATTTAGAGTGTCTTTTAAAAGGGTTTGATACGATGGCTAAATAAATAAATTCATAAGTAGGTGAATTTCTAAAGGGAAAGTGTCAGTTGTACAACGCTATGCACCCACAAACAATGCAGACCTCAAAAAGGAAGAAGAGTTTTACAGATAACTACAGGCAACAATGGACAATACTCCAGTTGGTGATATTAAAATACTAATGGGAGACATGAACACCAAACTGGGACCAGACAACACAGGAAGAGAACTCATCATGGGTAGAGAAGCTCTCGAAGAAATGAATGAAAGTGGAAAACTCTTCGCCAACGTTTGCGCCTTGAATGAACTAGTGATTTGTGGCAGCGTATACAAACACAAGGATATCCACAAGGCTACACATGGGTGTCACCAGATGGGCGTACCAAAATCAACTATAGGTAGATCTATAAAATTGAAGTTCCGAATTCGTGTAATTATAATTGATTTTGTTCGAAACGTCATCCAGTAAATAATACTGTCTCTCCACTGTGTGATATATCTAATAAACTAATATGGAATTACTTACTATCAGTGCCCAATTTTTGCTCATATATCATCATGATATCATCATGCGTCGGTGGCACAGTGGTTAGGACTCTCGCCGACCATGCACATGGTCCGGGTTATTTATAAGTTATTTTAAAATGAGAATATGGAACCTCAATTTCTCCTTGAAATGGGTTTCATCTATAACTTTTATTTTCTTATCACAATAGCCTGCTTTGCTCATTTGAATAGCTGCATACGTAGCTACGCCTTTTCTAATACATATGACCCAAGGTTTCCTATTTTCTAGATGTCGGTTAACTGTTTACTTTGAATGCATCTCTGCAAACAAAAACAATGAGATCGATGCGAGTTTAGTTGATAAATTAATTGTTTAGAAAGAGGCAGAAATATTAGGAGAGGGAGAACACTATACATAACTAATCACTTTTTTCTATTCTTGACTGATAATTGTTTCTTATGATTATTTATTGAATGAAATGTTTAAAATGTTACAATCTATTGTAATTTCGGTTGAATAGACTACTGAGGTAAAGTACAGGCGGCACAGATGAAAATGTTAAAGCCGGTGATGATTAGAAAAGCAAGACAGACCTTAATTAATCTAAAATCAATTTGGAAATCTGCTACCCCCAGAATAAGAGACAAGATTAGGATTTTCAACAATAATATCAAGGCAGTTCTTCTATATGTTTCAGAGATTTGGAAAGCATTTCCAACAGGCTTCAGACTTTCACGAACAGCTGCCATCTTCCTGGCTCAATTTTTTAGGATTAACATCAGACTGACAACAATAATCTCTAGCAGTAAGAACCTGTCACCAAATAAATATGCGGAAGAAGATGGAGGCGGACTAAGTATACACTGAGGAGGCATCACCGAGTGATATCGTAGGCAGGGCAGGCCCTTGAATGGTAATGGATTGCGAAACTATAATTTCGGTGTTGGTTCAAGAGTGATATGAAGGAGATCATGGGACCCATTCGTGAGGATTGCAGGCAACAGAATGAGATGATGTACTGATGAAGCTACATGTCCCACTCGGAATGCAAGGGAATAATAATAATAATAATAATAATGAGAGTACACTTAGTGACTTGAGGTTACACGTTTTTAATGGCAGCTAGCAGTAGAATCTAAAAGTTTTGGGGCTAGTCTATTCATTTCAGATATTTTAACGGGAAGTAACAAAAGTGAATAAAAAATATTAAATCATATACGTCGCACATGGAGTAGTCTTTATGGCTTCGTCGTTAGCTTCAAGATGTTCGAAGCAGCAGCTACTACGTTTGAGCCTTACTGGGAACACCTTCACTAACTGAGGACTAGGTAAATTCAGCTGAAGAATCTGGAAATCCGCTCAAACAATTCATAATTCAAAGGGAGGTTGATCAATTTGCTATAAATATTTCAATGGGAAGTCACAAATATGATTATTACTACAGAATAGAATTTTGAAGAGGAAATTAATATACCATTAAAATGAAGTGTACTATAAGATACCACCAGGAGAAATGAAAGATAGTGATAGACTTTTTAGATTTATTTCTGTCTGGAGGGAAGATCCTAAAAATCTGTTAGGAAGACAAACCAATTGTGTAGTAAAAGAGGTATTATCATCACTTCCTGCAGTTTTTAACAATTCTTTGAGTTCCTAAAAGAACATAAGGCTTTAGGCCTTAAGTTCAGAAGTTCCAGTTTTCATGTTCTCGTTTTTACCTGAGTGGAGTTGCTAGCCTCACCCCAACCTTGTTTCCATTTCAAGTTTACTACTGGTTAATGAAACAAAAAGGAGTTTATCCTCCAAGAATCAAACTTCAAATCAGGTGTATGGTTGACAACCATTGTAGCCCTGAACCACTGACTCCCTAAAATGAAGATTAGGAATTGATTCATGTCTTGTTCAGTTACAGAGAACATTTCAATCTACAAATGCATAAAATCGGTAGTTTAATCAATCAAAGATTCAGTAAAAACAAGGAGATTAGGTACACTGGACAGAATAGAATGACAGTAGTTGTAATCTACATATCCTCTGTGATATACCAGTGGATTAAAAAGTAATCTTCAACTATACATGGATGGTTCATCATGAATAGGTCTCAGTCTGTTTTATTTCCATAAATATTATGATAGAAGTATTAAGCTATAAGCATTGTGTAAAAGGGAACCCAGTATAGCTAAGTAAAGGCGTAGTAAAAACCATCAACAGTTCTATATTAGACCATGTGGTCCAAATCGGCCACAAAGCCAGCGTGGAAGAATCCTTCTCTATCATCTACTGACTACCGAATGAATTGCCAAAAACACTGAAGCATCGCATTCTTCAAACAGCAGAGGTTATTGCAACTCTCCTCAAGCAACCAGTGCTCTATGTGCGAAAGAAGCAAGTCCAGCCACTACTACTGCCCTGGCCGGCCTTCAGTAGAGACTAGAGATTCATGAATTTGTAGTATTATCTTTCCTAATTTTTCTGACATTCAGTGTGTATTGTTATGTTGATGCTATTGAACTTTAATCTATTGGTATTATTGATTCGCAGTTATTTAAACAATAATGTTGTTCATAACAGTAATTCATTCATTCACTAATATGTATATATAACTGTAGAACCTGATGAAGGAGGGGTTATCGAAAACAGTATTCTCTGTTCAGTAACCATCCTTTTGAAAATATAAATGTTACTGAGCAACATCTCCTACAGACATATAAATATATATACTCTGTTATTAGTTATAGAGTGTGTTTAGGAATTCTTAGTCTCCCTCCGGTGAGGTAGAAGGTCATATAAAACTCTAAATCTCACCATTAAGACTAATCAGGTGCATTATCTTCTTCAAATGAATTCTTTTTCTCAACATCATCAACATGATTACACTCAAAACAGAATAGTAGTAATAGTGATTTACCTGCATTTTCTCGTGATCAAATGTTGTGTAATAAGCTTCAAGAAAAACTGAACCCAATATTGAATACTTATGAGTTGGTTGTATAGCAAATGCAAAACAGCTACGACTCTGATTATGCTGACTAATTTGACCAAGATAGCGAACGTATTGCTGAAAGAAAACAAAATAAGTATGTCAACATTAAAAGACAATCTAGTCCAGTAAATATATAAAACAAATAAACGGCCACAGTATTGAAGAGAACATGAACCGCAGTGAATAAAAAACCTTACAATTCTAGGGAGCTAACTTTGACAAATTTATTCTTATTATTATTTCCTTTAATTCTTAGAGGAACATAGTGCTTCAGCCGCGCGTCTCCATTGCCTTCGGTTTTCTGCTAACTTTTTCACCCCACTCCAAGTCTGCTCACACGCTTTCATCTACTCTTCACATGACCTCCCCCAAGTCACCCTTTCACTGACGACCAACTCGCCGCTTCCAATTCATTCGGTTCCACTCGTGGGCTTGTTTAGTAATGTCACTTGATGGTTTCCTCAGCGTATGGCCAATCCATCTCCATTTCTTCCTGCCTATTTGTTTCACAATCGGTTCCTGGTTGGTTCGCTCCCAGAGGTCCCTGTTGCTGACCTTTTCTGGCCACCCATCTGATCTTGAGCAAAGTATTGGGCGAACACAGCTGTTAGTGAAGGTCTGTAGTGTGTTTGATGTGCTCTTTATGACGTGCCAAGTCTCTGATCCGTATAGTAGCACTGACTTCACATTAGAGTTGAGAATCTGAGTCTTATTTTTGATGCGAAGTGCTGTTGACCTCCACACAGACTTGTGAGTAGTGAAAGCTTGTCTTGCTTTCTCGATCCTCGCTGCTTTGAGATCCTCATCAGTTCCGTCCGGCTGAAACGATGATTCCTAGGTAGGTAGGTATGTGGGTAAAGAAGGTTGCTTCTTTCAGATTCTTCCCATTTATGCTGATTGTTGTCTGTTGTTGTTGCTGTTGATGTTGGCCTGGAATCGTCATCACCTACCTGAAGTCCTACCTTCGATGCTTCTTCTGCCAACTTGTTGCTTTCCACTTGCATATCTTCGAGTTTGCGGGAAATCAGACGTATATCATCAACGACGAAGTCCAGATCCTCCAAGGTTTTTTTGTGGGTCCATTTTATGCCTGTTTCCTCATTGCCCGCTGTCCGTTGCATTATCCAATTTACTGCAATAAGGAAAATCATTGGCGATAATAGGCAACCTTATCTTCGTCACAGAACAAAACCAACGCTTAAGCATCCTTGAAAACCTAGAAGCGCTATATAGCTATTTTGTCCTAGTTTATGATTCTTCTCCAGTGTGCAGCGATAACCTCACCAAGAATTGAGCCCATGATCATTTAGCCATTAGTTTGAATCCAATCTCTCATGAATTCTAACACGAAAAGATGGTTGTAGTGAAGGAAATTTCTTTTTCGGTAAAGTCATCAACTATGCTGTATATTTGTATATAAATAGTAAATGGGTAAGGACTATTTCCGGTGGAGGGTCAAATTAGCAAGATTAAATATAGGGATTAAAAACGTAGTTATAACAGAAACAAACAAGAAGTTTGAATGAGAAAGCTAATAGGATTATTATCACTGTGAGAAATGACTGTTCATGGTGGTCCTGATAAAGACAAGGGTGGGACATATTTCTTTTGAATACATAACGTTTCCCTGAACGTTTAGGTCGCTAGTGTCTCGGCTATGCTCAGCCACCTTGATCTCGATCACTTTGAGAGGTTTGATCAGATCTTGTACAGCACTCTGAAAGGCTTCTTAAATATAATTGAATGATGTGAGTTGACCCAATATTCTGTTATCGAGCTATATATATATATATACACACACCTACTTTTCTTCTTTGCTAGCCAGGCTGGATAGTCTTCCTAAGCCTGTTTTACAAGGGAACTCATGGTAAAGTTAATATAATCAGCTCCACAGAGCTATTAAACTGGTATATGTATGTCTAAGTGGTCCAATTTGACAGCTTATTTACCACGTACTGGCTGAATAGTTTCTTACAGGAGAGTGCGACTCATAGATTGGCGACGAAATATGTTTTACCGGGAGATATCAGATGCTGTCTTGGGAGTAATTTTGCTTTATTATCAATTTTAAATTCGAAATTAAGCAGTGGCATCTTTTTGAGGGTGACTTAAAAGTGTGCAGAAGCTTTCTTTGGATATAAGTTCTTGACTGTGATAAGGGGTGGGGAATCACTTTCCATCATGATTCCTCGGAGAGTTTACAGTCCTTCGTCCATACACTCCTTGTTACATATTTCCCAAGTACTTCAGGAAGGAGAATATCTGAGGTTTCTCCTTTTGCTTAGATGGACACAATGTTCAAAAGTGACAAACTGTCCATTCCATAAGGGTTTTTGTAAATAGATCTTCCCAATGAGGTATCAACATTTCTTCTCAGTTAAATATTGAAGAAACCGAACATTTAGTCAAATTCAACCTGTAGAGTGAAATCGATGTGTTCAGTGAGAATTATTGAAGGTTTGGAGTAGGTTTCCGAGATTCGAATTCTCAATGCAAATAATGAAAGCAAAATTTAATGTGTATATCTCGTGAATTTTAAATTCTGTCAGTTTAAGATATGATAGTACCACTGCCAAACAATGCCACAAATAACTACTCTCTTCACACCGAATATGAGGGACACCAGTGGTTGATTGTAACGGACTAATAGATGAAATTATTAAACAGGAACTTGTACTTCGACAAATATCTAAATTGCTAGTATCGAGGTTATTATGTCAATGAACTAAGATAGTAAACCTTACAGCAGTTAACCTTATGAAAAACAGTGGTAAATATAACAATTTTTGAATCTATTTTCACTTTTCAATGTGTTTAAAATCATGTGGTTTTCATCATTTATACTTTTATCCATTGGTCAAGTGAAGCAATAAATCTAGCTAGTCATATGTCGTAATGAACATCAAAAAGAATGGTTACTTATCCTTCTAGGTAAGAATAAAAATCATAATAAAGATTATTATTATTATTATTCTTTGTTAATTACTGCTTCACTAATTGTTCATTTTTTGTACAGAAAGTCAATCATAAACGTTTGATCACATTATTTCTGTTTGTGTTATATATTCGCTTTATATGCACTTGATTTGTGTATCAGTTCTCGAGAAGTGTAAAACTCGATATTATAGGTGTTAGATGATCACTGAGAGAGAAGGAAAAGCAAGAGGATGCTAAGGTGTTAGAGTGTATTTTTGGTTAAACTTCTCAGTGATTTATGCTGTTGACATTACTGTTAGTCAAGTGTAAACCTACTTAGGATCCTGTAGAGACTTTGTTCAATACCCTGTAATGATTGTAAGGTTAGATGCTTAGGTTAAAATACCTAGCCCTTGAGTCAGTTAGACTGGTGAAGCACAGAAATCCGGAGGTGTAGCGTATGCTACTGATAAGATTTATAAGTAGTAAACATATGTAAAGAGATGTTCATTGTCAGAGAGACAGATTTGATGTCAGAGAAAGCTAATGAAATAAAGTTGCAGAGATATACAGGAGAGGTGAAAGGAACACAAAGAACACAATATGAAGGACAGAAGTGGCACAGCACGGAAGATTTGTGCAAATGGTGTGTTGAATATAAGGTGCACACAATTCGGCTACATAAAGATACCGACATTCCTTGATAAAGAAGTCAAGCTAGAGGCTTAAAGTTTCTGTAGCAGTGGTACTTGCTTTTACGGGATGGGGTTGCTAGCCTCATATCCAACCCTCCCTCTTTACTAGTCTTATTTTTGGCTTACCGAGGTAAAGGAGTGCGTTGGCCGGGGCTCAGGCAGCGGACTACCTGCATTGTCAGCAAGCATTCACCGCTGTGCCACCGACGATGGAACTTAGACAAGAAAATTCAGAAGAAAAATACCTACTAACGGTCTTCAAAAGAATGGTTATCCACATAATTTCATCAAAAAGTGTTTAAAATCGAATCACAACACCAACAAGGAACCATCATCAAAGAACACAGGAAAATTCATCCTACGATATATAAAAAATATCTCTGAAATAAGAGCTAGAATATTAAAACCGTTTGAAATAGACATAGCACATAAACCACTCAAATAACTTAATTCGAGATTGTGTAAACCGAAAGATACAACCGAAAAAGGGAGATAAAATTAATACCATATACAAAATAAATTGTATGAACTATAATAGACATTACATCGCTAAAGTGGGAGTCACCTTCGACCAGAATCCAGGAACACAGATTCTTTCATATCTATGCATGCAGATAATTATGAACATCAATTTGACTGGAATAATGTCGAAACTTTACACAGAGGAAACACCAAAAGTGTCAGGAAATTCCTACAAACCTGGTACTCAAACAAATACGCAATTGACAAACACGTTATTTGTTTTCTTCACACTCCCAGTGGAACATAGGGCTTCAAGCTAGTGGCTTGAAGTTCCTGTGGCAGTGTTTAATTTTACTAGATTGGGTTGGTAGCCCCATGCCCAACCTTTCCTCTTTACCAGTTCATTACTAGTTTAGCGAGGTAAAGGAGTGTGTCGGCCGGGATCGAACGCAGACCATCTGCATGGTCGGCGAGCGTCTTAACCGCTGTGCCACCGGCAAACACGTAAATGTAACCAACATACTAATTGATAAAAAGTAAATCATGTGATGACAGAGTTTAAAATTCGAGTCAATAAAAAATAATCAACACATATGAAAAGATTTTTACCAGGAGACGCAATTATATCACTCATAGAAAATTTAAATCAGTTCACTTTATGCTAAAAATTGCGCTGAAGGGGATGTTGTCCAGAAGGACAACGAAAACTCCTTCAAATAAACCAGCCAGATCACGAACACTACTAATTGCAAACTTAGATTAGTTGATCATAATAAGAACTTAAATTCAGAGAAATCCTTAGATGTAGTATTGCATGCAGTTAAACACAAATATATCGTAGGATGCAGTAAATAGTATTAAAATCGACACAAAATAGTGAGGGTGAGATTGATAACTGAAGCTTTATTTAACAAATCGACTGGGAATACATGCAATAGGACTGTATCAAATAACTGTCCAAGACATCTGGAGGATTCTACTACCCTTACGACAAGTGGGAAG